CGACCCCACAGACAACAGGGGGGGTCGGAGCCCCGCTCTCCCAAGGGCATTCCCTGAAAGTACAGGCTGGGCAAACATCAGCACTTGGGTTAAACCCCAGGGGGAAGTACAGATAAGGGCTTTTAACCAAAATCGCTCTGTCTGGCCACAAACGGTCTCTGGCCACCAAAATCCTGCAGCAGCTCCTCAGCCAAACCCCTGTCCCGGCCCCGCCGTGCCCCCGGAGCCGCGGCCTCGGGGCCTTTCCGGCCCTTCTGCCCCGTCAGCAGCTCTGCGGTGCCCGTGGCCACGCCGGGGAGGGTTCCCAGGGTGGGCAGAGCCCGCTCCGGGAATTTGGCGGGGTCTCAAGGCACTTGGGGGGCTCTTGGGGTGGTCTCAGGGTCCTTGGGGGGTTGGGGGCAGCGGATGAGCCTGGGAGGTCCTGGCCCTGCCAATGCCACAACCACCAGCGATGTTGGGGACCCCCAGGACCCCCGGGGTGGGTGGTGGGGTGGGGTGACCCCAGTCTGTCCCACCTTGTCCCATCCTGTACCAGCCCTTGCTCCAGGTCCCAGGAGCCACTTGCTGATGCCTTTCCCTTCCAACACCCACCTTTTCCCCCAAATCCTGTTTTCTCACCCCATCAAAGCAGCTTTTTAAGGCACAAACACCCATTTGGGACCCCCGGGGTGCCACCCCCCCCACCCCCCGTGTCATTCAACACTGGGGTGGGGGGGTTCTTTTCCACCCTCCCCTACAAGCGTGGAGGGACAGGGATACAACTCCACGTCTCCCCCAGCTGTGGGATCCCCAACGTGGGGGGTTAGAGAAGGTTTTGCCCTCCCAAATTGCAGGGGCCTGGGGTTGGGGAGCTGCTCAAGGCACAGAATCTCCTCTCTGCTCCCACTCGGGTCGGTGGTAGGGTGGGGGAAAGGCCACCAGCTGGGGACATGAGAAGCAGAAGGACCCTCCCGGCCTGAACCTCGGGGTGAGGAGAAAGGCTTTCACTTTTTTCCTGCATTTTCCACGTGCTTCTACAGGTTTGGGCTGCTCAGAGCAGCCAGAAAAAGCTGGGGCTGAGGGATTTTGTGGTGTAAATCCTGAGCTCTCCCAAAGCTTTAAGCTGCCATCATTCAGCTCCAGAGGGAACACCCTCTCCTGGGCAGCCAACATCCACCTGGAGCTGCCTGGAGCATCTGGGAGCAGGGAAGGGGCTCTTTGCCCCCAGCACCCCCAAATCTGGGCACTCTGCCCATCCCTAAGAGCAGCCTCCGACCTCAAATACCCCTCAAATCCGACCATAAGGATTGTGGCCCAGATCCAACAGGATATTTATAGGATATTTATAGGTCCCACTTCCCTGGGAAGGGGATGTGGACCTGGGAAACCCCCGGCTGCTGCTGAGGAGAGGAAGAGCTGGGCTGACTCAGCTCCTCTCGAGGAATCCTGTTTGTCAGCAAACGATGCCCACAAACGCTCCTGGATCCCATCCTGCCCTTCCCAACGCCGGGATGAGCAGTGGGAGGGTCACCCTGCACCCCCAGCAGCTGGGAGGGGCTCAGGATGGTGTGGAAGCCCCCCAGTATCCCCCTGGAAATGCTGGATCCCTGCAGGGGGAGTGGGACATGGGGCTCCCCCGCTCCTGGAAAGAGGGAAATGGAGCCAAGGGGGCTGAGGAGAGGAAGGAAATGCCTCTTCCAGCGCTGTCTCTCCAAGCAAAGTGGCACCAGGAAGCTTTGCCTCAAGTGTGTTTGCTTTAAGCAGCTGCTTCACACAGATTTTGGGGGGGCCTCAGCGGCAGATCCGGCGCCTGGAGCTCCCAGTGCCGGGGGCAGGAAGGATGGATCCATCCCATCCCTCTGCTCTCATTCCAGTGGCCATGAACTCCCACGTGCATCCACAGGGAATCGGGGCAGGGTGACACAACCCAGGACTTTGCCCCTCAGGGACCCCAGGGCTGGCACGGGGGGGGGTCACTGGCTCCACCCCCCCCTCACTTACACCAAGCTACACCTCTCTGTTTATTAATAATATTAAATATACAAGTTGTTTTCCATTATTTTCTTTAAATAGATTTTTAAATGCCTTTGTATAAAATATTTCAACATTTCATTGTATAAAAAAAAAAACCAAACAACAAAAAAAACCACAAACCAACAAAAAACCCAAACAAACAAAAAAAAAGGCAAATTCAATCCAACAGGGGTAAAGGCAAGTTTTTCCCCCCAGGATCAGCTCCTCCATGGTGTAAACTTACACCACAGCAGGAGTTTGGCCCCAGCCTTCCTGCTGCATTAGGGCTTTCCTCCTGCTTTACACCAGTCCCTCACACAGGAACCCCCTCTCTCTGACAGTCATAAATACACATATATATAAAAACCCCAAATTAATAGCGATGCTTTCCTTAAAAGCAGTTTGGTTTGTCCATATTTTCATCCTTCCTAGAAAAATAACACTTCAAACCCCCAGAGCAGCTCAGGCCATGCTTCACCCAGGGCCGGACGGAGCCACTGGATTTTAGGGGGTCTCCAGAGTTGGTGCATCTTCCCAAATCCAGCTGAGCCTAAAAGCCCCCAGAGGCACGGCTGGGGCTGTTCCATCTCTCAGGTCCACGTGGATCCCGTCCTTCCCGGCTCCATTCCCTTCTCCAAAGCGCAGGAACGGGATCCCAGCGAGTCCAGCTCGTGGCAAGGACCCCGCGAGGGGCAAAGGGGCCCCTCCAAAATACTTGTGCAGGATAAAGACTCTCATCAGCTCTATTAAAAACAGCCCCTAAGGAGGGCGAGGCCGAGGCCAGCTCGGACACGGAGCGGCAGGAGGATGGGAATGGGGACGGTGCCAAGGGTCACCCCCAAACCCGGCCCCACACGGGCACGGGGGGGGGGGGCTTTAAATATTCACAGTGTGAGGGTTTGAGTTGCAAATCAGGGCTGGGGGGGCCCCCCACAGCATCCAGGATGCTCCAGCTGAAGCCTCGGGAAAGGCAGGGTGGAGGGAGGCAACGGGTGCTGCTCCAAACCAGAAGAGCCAGAGGATTCAGGAGCTGGACCTCTCCATCTTCAGCCATGTCCGAGCAGGATCCACCATTCCAAATCCAGCATCTCCAGCGTCCCGCTCAGCACCACGGTGTCACCTCAGCCACTGCCACCATCCCGTGACGGTCCAACGCCTTCCAGCCCCTCGCTTCCCGGTGCTGGGGGTCCCACTGGGGGCACAGCCCCCCATCCCTTTGTCCCTGCCAGGGAGGGGTTGCAGTCTCTGGCCGAGGGAAGAGGGAGCGTCGGGATCCTTCCACCCGGATCCGTCCCCCACCAGCTTCACATCCCGCCTGGGGCCCTGGGAAAAGCAGGAAAAACGTGATGGGGAGCTGAGGATCTGCCAGGGAGGGGGAGAAACGCATGGAAACCACAGGAAAAAATACTCAGAGTATTAAGAAAGCGCCGGTAATGGATTAACGAGCTGAGAAACCGCACGCTGGCAGCGCTGGGGCCCAGACCTGCTCCTCTCCAGCGCCTTCCCACCCAGAATTTCCCTGCCCGTGGTCCAAGGGGACAGTCCAGGGAGTCAACATTGGCTTGGACAGGAGCCCTGTGAGGTCCCATCCAACCCCTGCTCACCTCAGAGGTCCTGAGTCTCCAGCTCTGGACATTCCCTCACTCCCTGTAGTGCCCTGGGAGGGAAAGGTGGGGGGTTTAGGGCAGGGTCGCCAGGGTGGGGGTTCCCAAAGCCCCCCCAGGCAGGATGAGATCACACCCACCTCCTCTCTGGCTCCTCGGGGTCGCAATCTCCGTCTTCCAGTGGCTGCTCCAGGACCTGTGTGGAGAGAGGGAAACAGGGAATGAGCCCTGGGGAAGGGGCAGGGGCAGATCTCCCCAGTAACACCCTCCCACCCCACTCAGCTCCTCCACTTGTCCCTCCATCTCAAAATGATTGGGAAAACGAGGCTCAACCCACACTGGCCACGTGGGGAAACTGAGGCGGGAGGGGCTGTCGGTGCGGGGAGGGGGGTCTTACCCTGCACTTATACTTGTAGAAGAGCAGCCCCCCCACTGCCAGCAGCACGGCCACCACGCCGGGCACCACGACGAACACCAGGGGCTCCTGGAGGCCCTCCCGGCCGGGCGGCTCCTTCCTGCGCTGCTCTGTGCCCGGAACAAACCCCGAGTCAAAGCTGGGCCCGGCTCCCGCGCCGTCCTCGGGGCCCCTCATCCTGCTGAGCCCCCAGCCCCGCGCCCTCGGCCCGCTCCCGGGGTCCCCCCGCAGCTCCGGGGCCATCCTGGAGAAGCGGAGCTGCGTGACGGGCTCGGCCGGCGGGGCCGGGCGGATCCGGGCTCTGCCCGCGGGGCCGGGCTGCGCTGCCGGGGTGGTCCTGAGCCCGCCGGGGCGGTCCGGGAGCGCGGGGGCTCCCCGCGGCTGGGCTGGCTGCCCCAGCTCTCCATCCCCGGGGCTCTCGTCCTCCTCCGCCGCCAGGCTCAGCATCCCGGCTGTGTCCGGCGGGGCTTCGGCGCTGTCGGCGGGATCCTGCGGGATCTGCGGCATCCCGGGGGGTGGCACCGACGCCGTGTCACCTATGCCGGCACCCGGGAGCTCCTCGGTGCCCGAGCCCCCGTCCATGACACTGGGGGCCTGGGATGGGGCCTCTAAGTCAGCGAGGGTGGCACGGAGGGGGCTGGGGGGGAGCTGGCTGCTAACGGGGGTCCCGTCCCTGCCCGAACGGGTGGCAGCGGAGAGGGAGGGCTGGGTGGCAGGAGGGAGGGCAGGGGACAGGCAATTGCAGTCAGGATCTGTCCCCACACCTGAAAGAAGCAGAGAGAAGAAACGGCCGTGGGGTCACCAGCCTCCAAGAGGGGGGCACAGCCAGCAGATCCGAGGGCGGGGGGAGCACCCCCCGGCCCTTCCCTGGGGCAAGCGGGTCAAACAGCCCCCAAAAAACGGGAGAGGCAGGGGACAGGCAGGAGCAGGCAGGAGCAGGCAGGGCAGGGAGGTGACAAGCAGCAGGTGGGATGAAGCAAACCCGTGTCACCGGGTCCCCTGAGCCGATGGCAGTGGGTTTTCCAGGACTTGCAGGAGCCAGACAGCCACGTTTAACATCCCCCAGGGCACAGGGACACAGCACAGCTCCCACAGGGTGACAGGAGACAGCTCCTCCAGGGCCATGCAAACACAGCACGGGGGCAACATCACTCTCCCTGAGGGCTTGGCCAGGGCACACTGAGGCAGCTGGAGTGACACAGCCCAGGTCATGCAGACATTGGTGGCACAGCAGTCCCAGCACCTCCATTTCTCCTCTGGGGCTTTGAGTCGGAGCCGAGCCTGATGCCTCCAGCCAGCCCTTGGAGATGCCTCCCTGGCCCCCCTCAGCACCTCTCCCTGGCCTTGCTTCCAGCACATCCCACCTCCAAAGGGCAGCCAGCCCCTTTTCCCCCTGACACTGATGCAGAGCTCGCTGACACAGCACCACAACCACCCCCCGTGACAAGGACCGAGGTGCCCACGTGTGCCCACAGACAGGGACACGTGGCTCTCAAGCTGCTCCATGCAGGTCAGCCCAAGCCCCCCCAGCCTGGCACAGGTTTAACTGGGCAGAGCAAAGCCTTGGCATCTCACCTGGTGGGGATTCAGCCCCCCTGGGCCCCGGGCAGGCCCTATGGTAGACATGGCTGCAATCCTTCTCGAAGGTCTCCTGGTTCTGCAGTAGCTGGTTGATGTCCTGGAAGAAATCCTTCACCAGCACCAGCATCTCATAGGGGGAGGTGGTGAACTCCTTGAAGCACATCTGGGACAGCTGGAGGAAGTGCCAGGCTCAGCGTCAGCCCTGTGACACACCCAGGGTCCCCATCACGGCGCTCCCAGGGCAAGGTTTGGTGGCTCCTTGTGTCCATGAACACCCCAACTCTGCTCCACATGGTGGTTCTGCCCATGCACCCACCCCAGGATGGTCTGGACACCCCATTTCACCCCAGGATGAGGACCCAGAGCCAAGGACACTGTACCATCCTCTCCTCATCATCCTCCTCCCTGATGCAGGGGTCGACGTTCTCGTCGATGCTGTGGTACATCCTGCGCACTGTCTGCATCTTCCTGGCATTGGAAGAGTTCTCCTTGAACTCTGTTCGCTCCAAAATCTTGCCCAGCAGAGGAAAGGCAGCTTTCACATAGCAGATGGAGTCGTTCTGAGGACACAGATCCCCCCAAAACAGGGAGAGTGAGTGGTTACTGGGTGGACACTTGCCTGAGGGAAACCTTGCTACAACCCCACAGGATGCCCAAACTGGGACCTGGAAGCCACCTGGCCGAGCAGAATTGGTCCTTCCTGGGCTGCCTCCCACAAAGGGAGACAGGAGAGGGGAGATTTGGGATCTGGAAACCCCCCACCGTGCACCAGTCCTGGTGCATGTCCTTGTCCTCTTCTGTCCCCAGCAAGGAGCCACTCACCAGCTGCATCTTGTCGATGAACTTGAAGGAGACCCTGCCCGGGTGCTGCATCTGGGTGTCAGCCTGGAAGGACAGAGCAGGGCAGGGGTCACCCACATTCCCAGGGGACAGGGCAGGGGCTCTGAGGGGCTGGAGCTGAGCAGCCCCAGGAGTGCCATGCCCTGGGAACCAAGGGGCACCCAAGTCCCCTGAATCTCCCAGCCCTGCTTCATCCCACACCATCCTCCTCCTCCTCCTCCTCACACAGCCACACCCCCGAGGCCAATGCTCTGGCAGGGGTGAGCCCAGGATTCCTGCTCCCACCAGGGTGTTGCACTCCCCTGGCTGCCTCTCCCTGTCTGCTCCCACCCCACCTGCCTTCCTCCTCCTGCTCCTCTTCCTGCCAGCGCCACGGCAAAGCCCAGCCCCGCTGAGTTCTCCCCGCTCCCTCCGCCAAACCCAGGCTGCAAAGGAGCAGCCCGGCGCGCAGGAGGTGGCCGTGACACCGAGGTCACGCATCCCCCGGCATCACAAAGCGCCGGGGTCGCCCCCGCGGCGCCGCCGGCCCCCCGTGCCACGAGACCCTTTCCAATCGGAGTAAAAACCCACCCCGAGCAAACCCCCTCCCTCCGGGCCGGCATCCCAGGCTGGGGGAGCGAGGGCTGCCAGAATTGCCGGCCGGCGATTCTCCTCCCAGCCTGGGATGCCGGCCCGGAAACAATTGCTCCATTATCCTGCAGGCGCTGGAGCTCCTCCATCTGCGAGGACAGGGCTGCAATCCCCAGCAGGAAAAGCGCGGCTTCCATTCAAACCTGCTCCATCCCACGGCCGGAACCCCCGGGGGTGCAGAGCAAAGGCTCCAGGGCTGGGGGATCCCCTTTTCCCCCACAACCAGCACCCAGTTTGAACCCCCGGGGGTGCAGAGCAAAGGCTCCAGGGCTGGGGGATCCTTTCTTCCCCCACAACCAGCACCCAGTTTTAAAGCCCAGGGGTGCAAAGGCTCCAGGGCTGGGGGTGCAGAGGGGGCTCGGGCAGAGGAAGCTGAGCGGCTTCTGGTTAAAGTGGTGGTTGAAGAGGAAGAGGTGAAGGAGCCCGGACACAGCGGTTACACGGAGCTCGGAGCAAAAGCAGCCGCGCATCCGGAGGCGCCGCTCCCGCCTCTCTCCCGCACTCCCGGCGGAATTTAATCTGCGACAGCCCTGCAAATCCCTGCGTGCCCCCGATTCCCGCTTCTGCCCTGAACATCCGCGTGATTCCCCGCTCGGAGGTGAGCCAAGGGCCACGGAGAGGGAGACACGGCCCCGGCAGCGGCTCCGGGGGTGCGGGGGGGTGCCAGCCCCCGGAGCTGCCCGCGGGATGCCGGCACCCACCGCCCCAGCCCTGCCGGCTCCATCGCCCACCCGGCCTGGCCAGCGGCCTCCCTCGCTGCCTGCCACCCACCCACAGCCCCACTGCCAGCCCAGCTTCCAGGCAAGCAGCTGGACTCAGGAATGCAGCCGGATTCCTCCGCTTAACCCCTGCGGAACCGCCCGGAAAACACCCCAGCCCGCAGCGCCGGCCTCTCCCCCGCTCCCTCAGCGCCCCTGCGCCCACCCGGCCCCGCGCCTGTCCCCTCCCCGGCCACACTCCTGCTTCCCTCTTCTCCCATCCCTCCTGCTGGCACTTTTCTACAGTCACCCTTAATAAAGGCACAACAACTGTCACCCCTCGGTGCCCACTTGTCTGTGGTGCCCACGGATGCTCAGCCCCCGGGTACCATCCCTTCGCTGAGGGAGCTGCAAACCACCTGATTTCCTTATTTTGGCCCTAAATAAAGGTTGATCCGTGCCCGCCCAGCCCCGAGCGATCCCACATCGCCCAGCACAGCCCCGGGAGGGCACTCACCAGCTCCTGCAGCTCGGCCAGGTGCCTCTCGGTGATGATCTGCTGGCAGTAGCTGTTCTGCTCCGTCTCATGGATGCTGCAGACCAGGAGGAGGAGGAGAGACGACAGGAGGGTGCAGCGGAGCAGGGACACCTGAGCACGGCACAGGAGAAGCTTGGAGCAGGGATAACCCCACACCGAGCCCCCTGCCCTTCCCCACCACCCCCCACCTCTGTGGTGGACAAGGCTTGGCCACGGTCCAGCAAGATAATCCCACTGTGGTCCTCCAACCCCGCGCCCGTCCCCATCCTATTTTTAGGAGCACCAGGTCAGCAGGGAATTTCCCAGGGCCCCGTGACACAAGCCTGGATGTGGCTCTTGGTCACCTCCACGTTCCCCATCCAGCCCCTCTCTCCTCTCCCACACCATTTCTCAGTCTCTCCTGCAAATCTCCTCCTCCGCCCCGGCTCTCCGGAGCCGTCTGACACACTGACCCACCCAGCCCCAAAAATCCTCTTCCCACCCTCCGGACCCCCCCCAGCTGCACCCGCCGGGCTCTTTCCATGCAGCAGCGCTGGCCTCGTCCCAAATTTCCCTCCCAGTCCCCCTGCAAAGGAACGGGGAGGCCCCGGACCGTGGCGGGACCCCGGTGGGCAACGGGGGCTTGTCCCAGAGCCAAGACTCCCGGGGCGGGGATGGAGGGGACCCCCGGGGTGCGGGGTGCACCCCTCTGCCGGGGCACCGGCAGGGACAGGGTGCCTGGGTGATGGGTGGGGGGGAATTTCCCTTGGAGGGTGTCCAGGAATCCTCCCCTCTTGTGAAACTCCAAGATGCCTCCCCGGCCACCGCCGAGATGCGGCCACGGCTGAACGGAGCCTCACCCCGCCAGGGACGGGCTGGAGCCGGGAACGGAGCCGGGAACGGGGCTGGAGCCGGGACCTCCCCCGCCGGGAACGGGGACCGGGATGGGGCTGGAACCCGGAACCGGGGCGGGAACGGGGCTTCACCGCGCGAGTCCGGGGCTAGAACCGAGGACCGGGACGGGGCCGGAGCCTCATCCCGCGGGTCCGGGAACGGAGCCGGGGCTGAAGCATCACTCCGCCGGGGCCGGGGACCGGTCGGGACTGGAGCCGGGGCCTCCGTGCGCCGGGAATGGGAATCGGGACGGGGTTGGAGCCGGGAAACGGGGCTGGAGCCGGAGTTGCATCCCGCGGATCCGGGGCTGGAACCGCGAACCGAGCAGGGGCTGGAGCATCCCCCCACCGGCAGCCGGGACCCCCCGAGGAGGGGACCGGCCTGGGGGCACGGGGAGAACCGGGGACCCCGCACAGGTGGCAGCGGGCGCGGGGGCTCGGGGAGGGGCCGCCGTACCTTGGCTCCGAGGCGGGGCATGGGGGGGCTGCCGTGGGGCCGGGGCCAGGCGGAGCGGGCGAGGCGGCGGCGGCAGCGGCGGGGCCGAGCGGGGCCGGGCTGAGCCGCCGCCGCGGCCGCGCTCCCCTTTATAGCGCCGCGGCAGCATGTGGTTTATGAGAAAGGGGCTGGCGGGCGGCCAGGGCCCCGCGCCGGGACCGGACGGGCCGGGCCGGCACCGAGCGGCACCGGGCGGGTACGGCGCGGCCACCGCCGGGGCCGGGGGGGCCACCGCGGCCGCTCGGAACCGCTCGGGGCCCCTCGGAACCGCTCGGCATCGCTCGGGCCTCTCGATGCGTTCGGTTCGGCACCGCTCGGATCCGATCGGACAGGCTCGGCCGCCGCGGATCGGGGCGGATCGGAACCGCTCGGGTCTGTTCGGGGCAGATCGGAACCGCTCGGCTCGGGGCACCCACCACGTGCGTGACCCCCCC